ACCTGAAATAGAACAAGGTACAGATCCAGAGATCAGTGTTGGAGCTGGTTATTTCTCCGGTGTAAGGGGAACATTGCCACTCTGAGATTGAGTGTTGTGCAGGCCTTGGGCAGAAAGTTCTACAGTGGCTCTCTTTTGCCAGGTATGTTCCAGAAGCAAAACACAGCAACCTCGGTGTAGACAGTCTTGTGGTGAAAGGGCAGGAGGAAGCACTCAAGTACCTTATAAAGGCTGTAAGCATAAGCAGCAGTAAAATGTACAACATGATGGCACTCTTGGTCATCCACCTGAGACTAATCTCTGAGTGCTGCTTCAATTTTTTTTTTATGCCAAATTTGAGTTTACATTGGTGTAAATATAATTCAAATAGCTTCCAAGTGATTTTACAGTAATGGGCATAAGCATACAGGGTAAGCCGGTCTTACCTGTCCATGATGCTAGACTAAAGTCCAGGCTTTCCCCAGCAGAAGGGGCATAGCCCCAAAAGGGGTCATGAGTGAATGGGTTCAATAGGGATGGACCACAGCCCTAGACCCATACAGCACCCTCTGGCTGACCACATGCATTGCACTAAATGTCAAGTTCAGTGCCTCTGCAGGATCCAGTGTGTGAAACAGCATTACAGACCATCCCCACGAGGGCTGGGGGTACAGCTCCCAAGGTTTACCGAGGATGCGCAGATCCGGATGCACAGCTTCTGTTTGTGGTATTAAAAGGCCGTAAGGAGTTGATGGACTTTAATAACTTCCTGCCAGGCCTATAGCAGATTGACGGCCGGGCAGGACACTCACCAGTATGACTGGGAGTCATACAACGTCCTGTCAAAACGAGCTGCTCACGCAGCAGCACATCTGGCACCGGCTGTGTCCAGGGGACACAGTCAATGACATATCACTACACACCGGCCCATTGTCATGTGATCTGCTGTGATTGGTCACGTTAATTGTATACAATTGATGACTTCCTGTCATGCCATCCATTGTATACAATTATGTGGTTAGCTGTGACTGGTCAAGGCAGTCACATGATACAGACAGGGCCAATCACAGCCCATCTGTATCATGTGATCAGCTTTGCCCAATCACAGCTAAATCACAACAAAAGACTGAATGAATCAGTTTCATTTAGTAACAATGATTGCAAATATCAATGGAAATACATTGGTATTAGCAATCAATGTGTTAAAAAAAAAAAAAAAAATAATCCTGATCACTTGCCCAGAGTAGTTTAATGTTACTATGGTAACATTGTATTGCTTTGGTCACGGTGTGCTGAAAAATAAAATCGTAAAAAAAAAAAAAAAGTAAGAAAAAAAAAAAAATGAAAACATTTGAAAAAAATACTAATTCAATTATTATTATCACCAAAGAAATGTAGCAGAATACATTTTGACCTAACTTTATGAAGAAATTGTATTTATTTGCAAAATTTTATAAACAGAAAACGAAGAAAAGTGCGGTTTTTTTTTCCAAAAGTTTCAGGTGTTTGTTTTATTTAGCAAAAAATAAAAAACTCAGTGGTGATTAAATACCACCAAAAGAAAGCTATTTGTGAGAAAAAAATTATAAAAATTTCATATGGGTACAGTGTTGCATGACCACACAATTGTTATTCAAAGTGTGACAGCACTGAAAGCTGAAAATTGGCCTGGGCAGGAAGGAGGTACAAGTGCCCGGTATTGAAGGGGTTAAAGAAAATAATAAAGAAAAATAAAACAGTAGTTAATCTAAGAGGGATTTCGAAGTGAAGGAGAATTCAATCAGCCTATAGCACTAGAAAAATAAAATATTATGGAGGATTCAGGGTGGGGTTATAGGAGATGCACCCAAGGGGAATGTCTTCAAAAGCTTTGCCAGTGTGTAAGCACCTAAAAGGTACAAGCCTATAACCCAGCTGTGACGGGAGTGACTTTGGGGGGTGGGGAGACCCCTGTCTCAGCCCCCCAAATCCCTCTTATGTGCAAGTCGCCCTGTGCCTGTTAGGGGTACAGGGTGATCTGTCCTGCTATTGTGTAGGCATGTATAGGTGGGGTGTGGGGATTGTTCATTGTTTAATGCCAGGTGGTTGTCCCATTGTTCTATTATGTGTCTTGCTTGAGAGCAAACTATTATGGGATGTATGGGTTTTGCTATTGTCTACTGCCATGTGGTGTATCCCATTGTTCACTGCCATGCGGCTGCATCCCATTGTTCTAGCACACTATTATGGGATGTAATGTTTCCGGCAGCCCTTCCCCCTGATGGGATGGCCTGCTGATGTGTTTCCTGTCTTGGTGTGTATATATCTTGTATCTGTGTTAAAATAAAGGAGTCCATTTGCTGTCTTTCATACAAGTCTTCTGTGTCTCGTCCTGTATGGTCAGCAGTGGTGTCTGGGGATCTGTGTTCGGACAGGGAAGCGGGAGGCTAATGGAAATACCCAAGTGCAGTCGGGGGATCCGCTTCCGTTACACCAGTAAAAACACAAGCACAACATTGATAAATTTGGAGCAGGGCTTTCTGGTACAGCCATGATACCAGAAAAATTGTCAGAAATACTTTACTAAATTGCCCTGCAATGTGTTTAAAATAAATGATACAGTGATATTCCAAAGGCAATACCATAAATGTTTTCATTACAGTCACCTTATTGCAATGTTGCTCATTCACTATAAAGGTCACATATTGCCTCAGATAATTCAGCCATGTAAGGCACGCCAAGGAAGTATGATCTAAATCTGAATTAAAAAAAAAAAGTTTCCCCTTGCAGTGGGGCTGTGCTCACAATGGAAGGGTTAGTTGCTTGTTATGCTGCTGGTCTAGGTGTGTCCACCACACAATCCCCTTTTGCCTTCAGGGTACTGAGGTGCAACCAGCACTCATCCAGCCATGTGGAAAAAATGCAATAGGCTCCAAAGGGCACACTTGAAAACTGCATCCACTTTATTGTTAATCTTTAAAACTGCCATATAGAACAGCAGCAGACATTGTGGCAGCAAGGGAACACAGTCAATGCATTTTGTGCTGCTAGTGCTTATTCATCATCAAAGTAGATGCAGTTTAAGTGTACGGCCCTTTGGATCCTATTGTATTTGTTCCACTGGATCATGGAAAATGCCATTTGCCAGTGGACCAAAGGATAAGGCTTTCTTCTCACTCCTGGACAAAATGAGCACATAACATTTGCAGTGTGGACACAATCCCATTTCAAGGAAAGACTTTTTTTTGTTCTATCTGGAGCTTTAAGTTTTAAACACAAAAAACAAACAAAAATTATACATACAGTGGGGATCGAAAGTTTGGGCACCCCAGCTAAAAATTTGTATTAATGTGCATAAAGAAGCCAAGGAAAGATGGAACAATCTCCAAAAGGCATCAAATTACAGATTAGACATTCTTATAATATGTCAACAAAAGTTAGATTTTATTTCCATCATTTACACTTTCAAAATAACAGAAAACAAAAAAATGGCGTCTGCAAAAGTTTGGGCACCCTGCAGAGTTAATATCTTGTACTGCCCCCTTTGGCAAGTATCACAGCTTGTAAACGCTTTTTGTAGCCAGCCAAGAGTCTTTCAATTCTTGTTTGAGGTATCTTTGCCCATTCTTCCTTACAAAAGTCTTCCAGTTCTTTGAGATTTCTGGGCTGTCTGTCACGCACTGCTCTTTTAAGGTCTATCCATAGATTTTCAATTATGTTGAGGTCAGGAGATTGTGAAAACCTTCAGTTTACGCCTCTTGATGTAATCCCCCGTGGATTTCGAGGTGTGTTTAGGATCATTATCCATTTGTAGAAGCCATCCTCTCTTTAACTTCAGCTTTTTCACAGATGGCATCAAGTTACCATCCAAAATTTGCTGAAATTTTATTGAATCCATTTTTCCTTCTACTTGTGAGATGTTCCCTGTGCCACTGGCTGCAACACAACCCCAAAGCATGATTGATCCAACCCCATGCTTAACAGTTGGACAGAGGTTCTTTTCATTAAATTCTGTGCCCCTTCTCTAAACCTACCTTTGCTCATTTCGGCCAAAAAGTTCAATTTTAACCTCATTGGTCCACAGAACTTGTTTCCAAAATGCATCAGGCTTGTCTATATGTTCATTTGCAAAGTTCAAACGATGATTTTTGTGGTGAGGACGTAGAAGAGGTTTTCTTCTGATGACTCTTCCATGAAGACCATATTTGTACAAGTATCTCTTTATAGTGGAATAGTGTACCACAACTCCAGTGTCTGCCAGATCTTTCTGGAGGGATCGTGCAGTCAAACGTGGGTTTTGAATTGTTTTTCTCACAATCCTGCGAGCTGTTCTGTCTGATATTTTTCTTGGTCTTCCAGATCTTGCTTTAACTTCCACTGTTCCTGATGACTGCCATTTCTTAATTACATTCCGAACAGAGGATATTGACATCTGAAAACGCTTTGCTATCTTCTTATAGCCTTCTCCAGCTTTGTGAGCGTCAACTATTTTCAGTTTTCTAGACAACTACTTAGAAGAACCCACGGTGCTGATTGTTGGGGCAAGGTCAGATGAGTCTGGGCATTTAAAACCTTTGAGATTGACATCACCTGGTCTTCCCAGATGATGATTGAGAACAATCCATGATACTGGCAGGTCTCAGCTTGGCAAAGGGGGCAGTGCATGCTAAAAATTCTGCAGGGTGCCCAAACATTTGCAGACGCCATTTTTTTATTTTCTGTTATTTTGAAAGTGTAAATGATGGAAATAAAATCTAACTTTTGTTGACATATTATAAGAATGTCTAATCTGTAATTTGATGCCTTTTGGAGATTTTTCCATCTTTCCTTGGCTTCTTTATGCACATTAATACAACTTTTTAGCTGGGGTGCCCAAACGTTCGATCCCCACTGTGTGTGTGTGTGTGTGTGTGTGTGTGTGTGTGTGTGTATGTATATATATATATATATATATATATATATATATATATATATATATATATATATATATGATTATGAAGAGCAGAAGTTATGACTCCACACTGACTTTCTTTTTGTTTCAGAATCAGTTGGATCTGTGGACTCAGACTCTGAATCAGATGGTGGAGAAGACTTGCCCAGGCAATGGGAAACCATGGCCACTTGTGCTCAACTTTCAAAAGAAGCCATTCAAACTGGCACAGAGGACATCCCATACATTGGAACAGATGTACAGTCTGAGTCAGAAGAAGACAATGCTAAGTGTCATGATCTAGCAGGAAACAACACAAATCAGTCTAACAATGTGCTATTAACCACTCAAGTTAGGAGGACCCCTTTGCATTGCCGTCGTACTCGTCCCATTATCCGTCTGTTACAAGGGAGAACTGTGTTGAGCTCTTCATCTGGCCGCTACCCTCAGTTTGTATAGGGCACTGAATCCTCCTATATGTGTCTTACAATCCAGTTGCCGAAATTATCTACTGGATTTAAAGGGACTCTGTCATAAAACAAACATCCTCTGTAACTTGCCTACTGAAAGCAGCCTATTCACCTCTACCGGCAATTTAGTTTCAGGGAAGTGGCCTAGTGAATTAGAATTAGTTTCAATGTCACAGAAAAATGTATGCAGCTTGAGTCAAGGACTAACTACTTTGTTTGCAACAGTGCCCCTTTAAAGTCTAAGCAGCCAAAACTTTTTAACATTGGACAGAAAGGAGAAGGGATAGAGCCATTTGGCTGGAGTTTGAATTGATGCATAAAGGGCACTTTTCTTTAGAAGCAGCTTTCAGCTTTGTGTGTACAGAATCCACATGAACCTGTAACCTCACCATAAATGGTACAAGAGAAGAGACAGCTCTGCATCAGTGGTCATGCAGAGACTTCAAGAGATTGTGCATATAATTATGAAGCTTGTGTGTCTGATATTATGTGTATTGGCTTGAAATAAAGAGTCATTTTTCTATAAAAACAATTTTTCAAAACACTTTTATTTCCTTTCTATTTGTTGGGTACTAGGCATGAAAACCACTTTATAAAAGCTAAATACATGTCACCTGCCCCATTTACAGAAAGAAATGTTAAATACAAAATGATACTTCTAGTTTTGTCTTGTTGCATCAGAGTACGTGATAAAGTTATCTTTCCCAATATAAAAAAAATAGAGGGGCCTGTTAACTGAGCAACTTACAGAAGCACCGTCACTGTTTCACAAGGTGAGTGGATGGAAGTGACAAGAGTATCACACACTTTTCACGATGAGTACGTGTACTTGGAGTCTTTTCTGTTAGCTGGCTCTGATTTGCCTCCCATCGTCAAATACAGCACTTCTCCAGAAGTTTTTCGCTTTCCCAGGGCAAAAAAAAAACAAAAAACCACGTCTCACTGGACTAATCGGTATGTAATGTAGCGACCAGCAGTCTCACTAGGACGAATAATCTTTACCACCTATGGAAGAGCAAGCAACAGAGTTTAAGTGTACAACATAGCAGTGCCACAAACTACGAAGCCCATCAACAAAGCAACTTACAATAACAGAGCAATGAGATGCTCCAGATTTTATAGGTCAGGTTACCTGTTGCACATTTTCAACTTACATTTTGATACAGTAAAAATTTACTGCAGGAAAAAAAACCTTTCAAGTAGAAAGCCCTATTCCTGCCTATGTGCTACAGAATGATTGTGTAACGGAACTGGACCCCAGACTGCACTTGGGTATATTCCGTTATACCGCAGCTTCCCTGTCCGAACACTATCCACGGACTACACCTGTGAAATCCCTCAGGAAATAGACAGCACCCGACTCTTCTTAAAACAGGAAGTCAACTCTTATTTTTACACAAAACACAAGATATATACACAGGGCGGGGAAACACAACCAGGGACAGGAAACACATCAGCCCGCCCCATCAGTGGGGAGGGCTACAGGAAACACATCAGCCCGCCCCACCCAACCAAAACATAGAACAATGGGATGCAGCACATGGCAATGACAGCCATGTGGCAGGGAACAAAGGACAACACACCAATACACATTACTAGGACATTCACACCCTGTACCCCTTAATAGGCACAGGGTGAATTAAACATAATGAGGGGAACATGAGCTGACACGGGGGTCCCCCCACCCCAATAGTCACTCCCGTCACAGATTGGACACAAGATAAAAGGTGGAGTTTGATTAAAAACACTTTGCTACCACTTGATAATCATCTGATTACCAGAAAGCATGCTTCTGACATCCCAGAAATCTCCCTTTGGGTAGCCTTGAGCTGTAGTATATGCTTTCAGGATGTTAAGACAAGCCATGCACTTTATACGGCCAGCAAATAAATGATAAAATATAGGAAATGTGCAAATATTGCAGGACTGTACTGTATTTGTTCCCCTTCCTTAAATTTGCCTTGACATATGTTTTAAAAAGTGACACTCAGCACTCCCTTAAAAAAAATGTGTAGCCAAAATGTTTCCTTTCAAGTTTAGGCTAGAGTAGAGGATTTTTTTTATGCTGGTTTTCCATTGGAAAAAAAAAAAAAAAAAAAAAAGACACCCCTTAAAGAGGAACTTCACCCCACCTAGCTGAGGTTACATTTCTACTCCTTAATCTCTGTCCCTGTATGTAAATTAAGACTGAAAAAAAAAAAAAAAAAAACACAAACAAAACAAAAACATAAAGACAGTCCACAGAGTCCAGTGTGGTGTTCCTTCCAGCCCAAAGTTCTATTTCCACATTCTACTCCTGGGGCTGCCATCTTGGAACAATCCCCTGTATGTGCAGACTGGCAGAGACAGAGTGGTCTGTGTATTCACAGGAGGGATTTCATGAATACGCAGTGACACCGCTGGTCCGCACATGTGCGAGATACAGCTCTGAAATATTAAAAATGGTGCTTTAAAGGCTTCAACAAAGTATTTCAAAGCCTGCTAAAATCTGTGTAAATGATAATAATGGAGGGAAAAAAAAAAAAAGCACACATATTAAGCTTTAAGCATAAAAATGTGCACTGTGAGGAGGGAGAGAACCACTGCTCTTATCCACAGTGCTGGATTGAGATCAACCTCAGGTAAGTACAATGGGGGACAGGGGGACATGCAGCACAGAATGTTTAACTTAATGCAGAGAATGCATTAAGTAAAAAAAACAAAAAAACTCTAGGCAAAACTCCCCCCCCCCCCCCATTTTGGATAGAAAAAATGAAGGTTACAACCCGTCAATTTTTTCTTTTGCCATTTGTGTTCTATAGGGGAGATATACCTTCTCTTTCTGTCTAATAGCCAAAACAGGAAGTGAGAGAAAATCCCCACAATTTAAAAAGGAATCCCCTGGGGAGCCCCAGGTCACCAGAACCAGTGACCCCGTTGGAAGTTTCCCCCTCTATTACTTTTCTGGGGACAACCCAAAATTTGGGATTTTCTTTACTTTCAATGATGAAATGGTAAACAAGACAAATGGAGAGGGGGTGAATCTCCCTAGCGGAGGCACAAACCCCAATAAAAACTGACAAAAGTTCTAATTCCTCTCCACTCTGTCCAAAACTAGAAAAAAATGTACCGTTAGACTTTAAAGGCTGTAGTACCACTTTAATCCTAATAATCATCAAATATAATAAAAGGGGATCCACCTGTGTATGCAAATAATAACACTGTTCAACAAATTTTTATTTTTTGCCAGTTTTGGAAACAAAAGGATCCATTTCTTAATGAATTTCACATTCTGAGTTCAAATATAACAATGAAATTTGTCAATTGGCTCTAGTTTTTCTGTAAACGGAAAGTTTTCTACTATAGGCGTAATGACTACATAATGCACAATAATTATATAGATAGATGTCTTTCCACAAATATAAAGCAAGTGATATTGACTACATAACAAAGCCTAAATGGCATAATATATTGCATAGGATTACCAAGAAAAATTATAGCCATAAACTAAGTTGAATCATTTTAATACTTAGGATTCTCACTAGTTTTGTCTTCAGTTTGTGTCGGTTTTGCTTCTCTTGGCTTTTCTCTTGTATTCGAGGAAAGGGCTATCTCTTACAACTGCACGTGACTACACGCTTCAGGTTCTTCCTCACTTGACTCAACCACAAAGGATTCTGGTGCTTTAGGAATTGGTAGCCCCTCTCCATGAGGAACTGGACGTATTGCCGATGGAATATTTGGATAGTGCACAGATAACTTTTTCTTCTTATTTAGCCCTTTTACAATTGGAGGCACCATACAAAAGTAACAATTACTAACATGATCTGTTGGCTCTCTCCAAATCATTGGCACAGCGAAAGGCATAGATGCCTTTTATCCATTCAACCATTGCTCCAGTGCCGTCCCACAAGAATTGCAGCATATATGTGGTGCCCAGCTCTTGTCCTGGTCTCCTATCTTGCAGCCAAAATACAAGTTGTAGGCTTTCTTAATCATTCCTGTTATCCTCCTTTTTTGTGAGATAAAAGTTATTTCACCGCAGATATAGCAGAAATTATCTGCTTTATTCACACAAGTTCGAGGCATTACTGAGTAGCCTATATAAGCATAAAACGAAATGTAAAGACGCTGTGGAACTACAATCAGCTACAGATACTGCAGCTTTTATGCAGTGAAGTGATGCAATTAAAGGCTAATATTGCATCATCTCAGTATACATGCAATTTTCTATTGGTCACCAGTATCAATTGCGCAATATGCAGCTAAAGTTGCATCATAATTTTGAATGGCTTACGTCATTAGATGGGTGAATATATCATGGAAACTAGAGCCAATCAACATTTTTTAGGGTCATTTTCGTTTTTTTTTATGTAAGATTAGCTAATTTTATGCCCAAAACTTTTTACCTGTTGAACAGTGTAATTGGTGTTCAAACCATGTTTGTGTCCCAAACGTCATATAAAACTCCAAAAAACAGCATCATAACATATCCATAAATCCATGAAAGACTCTGGAGTCTGACAGCTGCTGTGGCTGGGTGGTTAGTGATATGTATGCTTAGGACTGTGTACGGAATGCAAGCAGTACGGACTTTTGGCCATCCAACCCTCATAATGTCCAAAACCTAAGTACCACTGAGTATACTGCCCAGCCATAGCACCTAGCAGTGTGGTTACTCTTCCCTCCCCCCATCTGTAAAGTTACCGTCAGACTTTCAAATTAGTCTGGATTTACACTGCACACATTATTATATGCATTAACAAGCATTGCACAATGGCTTTCCTAATGACCGCGCACACACACACAAAAAAGTTAATAAAGTGCGAAACCTTAATGTTACTGTACAATGTGATACGAACATGTGTTTGTAAGGTGTGTTGGGGTACTAATGAAACAAATGGCAACACAGCAATGTTGCCACAGTCCAAAAGTGTGAAACCAACTGTAGAGTCTGAAAGTAAATCACCTATCACTGTGTTCTATTCAGAAAACATATTCTGACATGGATATAATAATGCCAAAAATGGAGATAGAGATCTCTCTCTCTAATAAAATGTATATATTTATTTTTTAACCTCTTCACGCTGGCAGTATGCAAATATGCAGCCTCTCAGCAGCTGGGCCTTGACGCCGAGCAGAGCCGCATATTTGCGTACCATTTGTAAAAAAACGTGCTGAGAGTGCGAGCCCTGCGCGCTACCAGCACGTGTCTGCATCGCACAGAAAGGTCCCAATCTCTCCTTGCGATCGGGATCTTTCCAATCATATGACTGCTGTGACAGCAGGTGGTCACATGACCCTAAACCCAGCCTCACCTCCCGGCGTAAGAAACTCCTTAAAGGGCAATTGTGAAGGGGTTAATTTCACACACAAAGCCATGGGCACATTCATTGGTGAGCTTTGCCCTTACAGCTTATTTAAAATGCTTAATTCCTCCTACAAAGTGATGAAATTTAACAACTGTGCCATGCATGTGTTGGAGCAAGGCAAATGAAGTATAAAGAGTGTACAAAGATAAAATGATTGCATTTTTTACAACAAGATGTTTCAATGGCCTGGTCAGAGTTGTTAACCCCAGAAAAGATTACAAAACCCTGGATCACAGTGATATTTCTAATCAATGCTTGTCTGTATTTAGTATCACACATCTTCAATCTTGTAAAGGCATCTTATTTAAATGGAGAAATATAGTCACTTTGCAGTTTGGTATCATTGCATGCACAACACTGAACATGGACCAAGGAAGGGAAAAGTGAGAGTTGTTTGAAAAGATCGAAAGAAAATGATAGACCAGCATATCAAAAGGTAAGGACTAAAGGCCATCTCCAAGTAGCATTGGTGTCTCTGCAACTTAAGTTGCAAATATTTAAAGGATTAGTTCACCATTACCAAAAAACTGCCTATGCAGCTAAAGGGCATCTGAAGATATAAACAAATTGTGCAGCTTTGACCAAAGTGGAATAATGTCCTTTCTATAAGTGTAGGCCTTTTATGTACCTCATGAAATCTGACTGGAAAACTTCAAATGCTGAGCTCAGAACTCCTGCATCAGGAGAGAGTGCATGTGAAGGGGTTTGAATCAGAGAAAAAGCGCTCTTCTGCGATAGTGAAGGTGAGCAGTAACTAGGGATGCACCGAAATTTCAGCCACCGAAACATACTGGCCGAAAATAGCACTATTAGCATTTTGCCGATAGGAAAAATTTAGCTGATACAGGTGCCGATTCAGGGGACTGTGTGTACTGCAGATGTGAAAAGGGGGGGGGGGGGAAGACGGCTGAGAAAGGCAGGAGAGGAGCAATGTTTACAGTGACTGGCTGTCACTAAATGCTGGTGTCGATTTTTAAATGTAACGTCTTTTTTTTTTTTTCTTCACTATAGCTCACAGAATCAGCTGGCACTTTCCACCCAGCAAAAAGAAACAATGTTTCCTTTTAGTTTATTTCTTGAGATAAAAGAAACAAAGTTTCCTTTAGCTCTGGGGAAAGTGACAGCTAATTCTTTAAGCTATAGTGAAGAAAAAAAGCTGGCAATTGCATTTTAAAAACCGGCACCGACATAGTGACAGCCAGTGAGGGAACATCTCTGTATACACTGCTCCCTACAAAAAGAGGACCTGTCGCTCAAATGCTATCACATAGGGGACTACTGGTCCCCTATGTGATAGCAATAAATTCAAAAGTTAAAAAAAATAAAAATATACATGAAAGTAGAAAAAAAAAAAAAATTGGAGCCTCCCCACCCCCACATACGCAGACATTTGGTTTTCGGCCACATGCATTCTGAATTTTTGGTATCAGTTTCTGCACCAGAATTTTCATTTCGGTGAACCAATAGCAGTAACCCTAAGCCTCTCATAGCAATGTACTTGATGTTTTCCAGTCAGGCTTCATGAGGTTTGTAAAAGGCCTATATCAAAGCTGAACAGTTTATTTTTGCATAGGCCATTTTTGGTGAAGATGAACTCTGCCTTTAAGAAAGTAAAATATTTACATTAAAAGTAACTTTCTCAAAACAGTTACATTCAAGGTATGCCTTTACAGTTACTAGTGTATTTATGTTAGCTGTCAACTGAACTGTCCAGCCACCAAATGGCTGGTGTCACAGCTGATCACACGTACCAAACCATGCAGCAACTCAGGCTAAGATGGAAGCTTCCTTGGCTGTAAAGGATAGGAGGGTTTAGTTAAACTTTAAGGTCCATGGAAAATGTAGCCAACCTCCCTGGACACGGCCAAAAGCCTCACTGAACAGCAGGATAGTGTGAGAAATAGTGAAAAAGCCAAGGAAAAAAGCAAAATAAGCTGAACTCCAAGGTCAAGGTACATCACTGTCTGATTGCACTGTCACCTTTTGAGCAACAGTTGGCTCAGAGAAAGATGACCCAAGATGAGATCACAGCTGAATGAAGGAATAAAAAAAAAAAAAAAAAAAACCCCACACCCCATAAAAAAAGCCAGACTGGAATTTCCTAAAATGCAAACTGACTAGCACTCACAGTGCTTCTTGGACAATGTGCCTTGGACAGCTCATGCAAAACTGGCACTTTTGGTCAGTAACATTAGCTCTAAGTGTTCACAGAAAACACCATCATACCTACTAAGAAACATGGAGGTGGTTTGGTTATGTTTTGGGTGAACGCTCAAGGCTATCAAGGAACCCGGGAGAAAAAACAAACTGCCCTGTATCAAAAAGCTCTGTTTCAGTTGAAGGTCATGTGTCCTTCAACAGTTTAATTACCTAAAACACAGCTAAACGCACCCAAGAATGGCTAAGAACAAGATATTTGAATACTCTAAAGTGGCCTTCTCTGAGGCCTGATTGGAATCCTATTGGAAGACTATGAAAAGTGCTGAAACATGCAGCCTTAAGATGGCACCATTTTCTATTGTTAAAAAGGTTCTGCTGAATGAAAAAGAAAAGTCTGATTTTTATTAAATAAGGAATAAACATGGGTGAATACCAATGTCTCTAGTTAGTTTCAAGTTAATACAGAGAAAAAACAGAAGATTCTTTGTGAAAGGGTACCAACAAATTTGTCCAAAGTCAATATAGTTTCCTTTATAAAAACACAAAACCTACCTGGCCTCTCTTTAACCCAAAATATCTTGCCACTGGATCTCCAGCCTGAATGCGAGGGAGTTGGGATTCTCGTAATTTGCTGAACAGGTAGTTAAGGTACACACAGAAACAAGGCAATAAAAGATAGTTTTCCAAGCTTAAAGTATCTAAAGGCAATTTTCCTCCCTTTTTTAGATAGGGTGGTGAGGGGTTAAACCCACTGTCTTCATTTGTCCTGGTGGCCTAAAAGGCCACAAAGGCTTAAAAGGAAAATCAAAATCAAAAATTTTAAGTTGTCACTGGAAGTGGATTAGAGTAGCTAATCTTTCAATAGAGACACTTGTGTTGATGACAGCTATCCAAGAGGGAATTTCCCTTTATTTGATCCCATCTCATGGTTATGTCTGGATACAAGAAGGAAAGGGAAATCCAGCGAAACACATACAGCAAAGAAAACAAAATCAAAACAAGGCATTAGGGAGAACTATCGATACCACCTAAAAGCGGAACTAAAAAAAAAAAAAAAAAAAAGTACAAACAGGCAGGAATTTTATAGTAGAAGAGACCTCTGACCCAAAATCAACTTACCTGCCTATCTGCAGTATTCTGCCGAATGTACACGGAGTGATGCATTCAGCATTCCAGTGATATTTTAGGGCTCCAAGAGCCTTGTTGTGTGGAATAGCTGACTACAAGGCCCTTACATCTAAGGTAAAACCTCATAATTGACTGAGTCCTTAATGAAACCTGACAAAAACGTAAGATACAGTTGTGCTCAAAATAATAGCAGTGTGTTTAAAAAAGTGAGTAAAGCGCAAAATCCTTAGAATAGCTTTTATTTCCATACTCACAATGCACAATCTATTCCAAATCAAAACAAGAAGGAAAATGTTTTAAATGTATTACTTTACAGAAAGTGAAAAAGCAATATAAGGCTGTTAAAAACAAAAAATCCACTATCGTTGTTCATCACACTGCAAGGTCTCTGCCCTCCTGCTATCCCCGGGTGCTGTGCTGGAGACAGGCAGGGAGGGAAGGAGGAGATAAACAGTGCAATGTTAAAAATATTAAAAGTTTAGGTCACCATAAGCTCTTGTTTTTAAAAGCATGTCATGACTCTTGGTTTTCTGTTAGTCTACTACACCTACTAGTAAATTATTTGCCATGTAGAAATATAATTTACATCAAAAACAGTGATTGATCAGGTTAGTGATGTTGGACTGCGGTTATTTTGAACACAACTGTAAGTGATGAAGAGAAAATATAAAAAAACAGAGTTTACCTATTCCCCTAGTCTCTCAAACGCAGAGCCTTTATCAGCCACAAGGGGTCATCCTTCTGGAGGCTGCTGGGATTTTGTACTGTAGCTAATGGATGGAAAATATTTTTGCCCTTTTTTTTTTGTAATTACAAATCACATACAATGACATCAATAAAGATGGAAGAAATTAGAATGGTTTGTGTGTATTAGCTTATGCATATTGTGTTTGTAATCTGATCCTCATTTGAGTCACAATAATAGACACACTAATAGGGCAAATTACAGCAAAAAGCCAGCTCGGCCAAGGGGTTCACATACTTTTTGTTGCCACTGTATAGACTCAAAGCCAACCTTGGCACCCAAATGATATGGATTGAATTAGGATTTAAGTGAACACTGATCAGTCTTGAAAATGATAAATACATTTCCGATCTTAAAAAAGGAACACCACAAAAGGATACTATCTTGCCAGCAGTTCTGTCACTTCATCTTTAGTCATCACCACGTGTTCAGGTACCAGCTGGTAAAGAAAAAAAAAATGAATACGTGAATAAAATCATGATGGGGTTACAAAACATGCCGAGATGTATTCTTGACATTCTGATAAGAAAAAAAAAAAAATACAATTATCTTCTGCCGTGTGATAATTAGAGCTCATGTACTTGAACATACTAAAATACACCTATCAATGCTGGAGGAAGGTCCTGGATAAAATGTTGGCTGTAAACTGTACACACGTAAACAATTCTGTAACTTTTACATGCACACAGTGCTAATGTGTACTAATGGTTAATGGGATGCTAGCCACCCGCATTCTATATCGAATGATGCTAGGCAGCTTGAGACGCCTGCATCATGAGCAACGATGTGGGCAGAGCTAGTGCTCCTTGTATATACTACATGGCTGAGTGTTCTGGTACCCGATCAGATCTGCTCCAACAGCTGGTGGAAAGAGCCATTTCTGTCAGTGTAGATTTTGGATTGGCTGAAGCCGCAGAATTGATGGGGAACTGACACCCTAAATCATGCTAGCGATAGGGAGAGGGTGTATAAGGTCACCCAGAACCTACAGGGTTCAAAATGAAATGCCTTAAGCAGGGCCAGGCCAAGTACATACAGAATGAAGGTCAAGTAGGAAATGCAGGAAAATGCATAGGCTAAGGAGGACAGCTGATCGAAGAAGGCAAGTGCTAAAGGGGCTATGGAACATACAGTTGTGTTCAAAATAATAGCAGTCAGACATCACTAACCTGATCAATCACTGTTTTTGGTAGAAATGATATTTCTACATGGCAAATAATTTATTAGCAGGTGTAGTAGAGTAATAGAAATCCAACAGACCCAACAGTCATGACATGCATGCTGCTGATTCTGTGTAATTGAATCACTAATTGAAAGGGGCATGTTCAAAATAATAGCAGTGTGGAGTTCTATTAGTGAGGTCATTCATTCTTTGAAAAACAGGTGGCAATTATTGCCCTTATTTAAGGAAGGAAGGCAGCAAATGTTGTACATGCTGGTTACAGTGCATTTCTCTCTGAAATTCTGAGGAAAATGGTTTGTTCCAGACACTGTTCAGAAGAACAGCGTACCTTGATTAAAAAGTTGATTGGAGGGGAAAAAACATTTAAAAGAAGTGCAGAAAATGATAGGCTGCTCAGCTAAAATGATCGCAAATGCTTTAAAATGGCAACCAAAACCTGAAAGATGTGGAAGAAAGCGAAAAACTACCATTCGAATGGATAGAATAGCCAAAATGGCAAGAACTCAGCCAACAATCAGCTCCAGGAAGATCAAAGAAGGTCTAAAGTTACCTGTGAGTACTGTTACAATTAGAAGACGCCTATAGAGAAATGGTGCAACATTTTGTGGACTGATGAAAGTAAGATTGTTCTTTTTGGGTCTAGTGGCCGGAGACAGTTTGTCAGACGACCCCCAAACACTGAATTCAAGCCACAGTACACTGTGAAGACAGTGAAGCATGGTTGCGCAAGCATCATGATATGGGGATGTTTCTCATACTACGGTGTTGGGCCTATTTATCGCATACCAGGGATCATGGATCAGTTTGAATACATCAGAATACTTGAAGAGGTCATGCTGCCTTATGCTGAAGAGGAAATGCCCTTGAAATGGGTGTTCCAACAAGACAACGACCCCAAACACACCAGTAAACGTGCAACATCTTGGTTCCAGACCAACAAGATTGACGTTATGGAGTGGCCAGCCCAATCCCCGGATCTTAATCCAAAAGAAAACTTGTGGGGTGACATCAAAAATGCAGCTTCTGAGGCAAAACCAAGAAATAGAGAAGAACTGTGGAATGTAGTCCAATCATCCTGGGCTGGAATACCTGTTCACAGGTGCCAGAAGTTGGTTGACTCCATGCAACACAGATGTACAGCAGTTCTCAGAAACAGTGCTTATACAACTAAATATTCATTAAGTTATTCAAAGGAAAGCAAAATCTTCAAACATTTTTCAGTTTATATAGTGAATGTTTGAGTTTGTAAAGAAGAATACAAACACTGCTATTTTTTTTGAACAGTCTAGTATTCACTTTTCTTCAATTTTTTTAGAGGAACAACACAAATTCAATATATTTTTTTTTATGTTTTGATTTGGAATAGAATTTGTAGTGTTCCCAATGCATTTGTGTGTATGGTAATAAAAGCTATTAGAAGGATTTTGAGATTTATTCACTTTTTTTCAAAACACTGTAGGTGGAGAGTGGTTTGATGATGGAAATGGCAATATATGAGATAATATGCCCAATATCCCAAAGGTCATTTAGACAGTCAATGATCATCATGTAGACATGTATCATACAGATGGCATAATAGCTTGGTGGAGCCCATAATATGCATAATATATAGATCTTAACAAGCCCATGTGACGTGTTCTTGCAATATTTAGATGTATTCTACATAATTTTGCACCACAAGCCTAACCGCATATTTTTGATGAGAGATCTGCAATACTTTCATACTTTACCTGATACCTGAGGAATCAGCTCTTTCAGCTCTTTACCCTGATGCTAGGGATTATAACAATTATTTTTGATGGTTGCATCAAGGATCATGTTTATCTAGATTGATTATTATGCACTTCTCATGTATGTTTATATGGTTATGTGATTTATACATGAATCCTGTCCTTGGTACTCACCATACCTTCTTGAGCTATCTATATCATCACTGCTTGTCATCTTCACTGTCTTGTTCAAATTTTGAGACTATACTATTTATCACAGGTCTATTATTCGTCACATCTTTATGGGACTTTTTGCATGACTAGTGCTGTCCAGGTTGATCTTGCCATTCTGCTTTTGACTTCCTTTCCCCCTGGGTGGTGGTGAGGTAATTTGTGTAATTTTTTGTATATTTTGGCTTACCATGCCATATAGGTCTTTGAGATATTTGTACTTTTTTTTACTGCAAATTAAATTATTTGTCTATTATTTGGTTTTCAAGGCTGCAGTTTGTCCTCATTTGGACCCCCTTTTTGGCCTCTGGGTCCTTTACCCTCTGGTCTTTTTTCTTTATTTTCCCATTTAGGATTAGGGTCCCGAGGACACCACATAGATATATATATATATATATATATATATATATATATATATATATATATATATATATCTATGTGAGTCAGCATTATTTATAATTGGGTCACTATCTTTATTCTGTAATTTCTGACCCGAGCTTTGGGAATCCTGGTGTGTTTTATTTTTTTTTTTATTTGTGTAGTACAAGGGCCTGCTTAATTGGATACAACTGAAAGTGTTGTTTAGGCTGGACCTCATATTATATGGTTTTTGGTAAATCTAAAGCAAAATTCTCAAAAAAAAAAAAAAATTGTATAATGTGTGGCCAGTCTTGGAGAGCAGCTCTCAGCCTTGGAAAATTAGCTCTTAAAATTGAGCGTTTTTATTTTTCCCATATGCGCTCGCTGTTTACAGCGAACAATAAATGAATTCATGTTATGGTCACTGCTACCCAGATATTCTTTTATATGGACATTTGTAATAAGCTCTGCATGGTTTGAGATAACCAGGTCCAGCAGAGCATCATTCCTAGTTGGGGCCTCTATGAACTGTACCATAAAATTGTCTTGTAGTAGGTTTAAACATTTTTGTCCTTTAACTGTTCCTGCAGTACCATTACTCCAGTCAATTTCTGGGTAGTTAAAATCCCCCATTATTATCACTGTCCCAGCCCTTTCGATCTGTGCAAGGAGCGGAGTCTCCACCTCCTCATTAACACTGGGAGGCCTATAACAAACTCCAATGATTACCTTTGTAGAATGCACCCCCATGTGTAGTTCCACCCATAATGCTTCAGCCTCATTGCACTCTCCATGAACTAGGTCCTCTTTCACACTCGTTCGGAGATCACTTCTCACATAGAGAGACACCACCACCTTTCCTATTTACCGTCTCTCCAAAAGAGAACATAGCCAGGAAAATTAATGGCCCAGTCATGCGAAGAATGAAGCCAAGATTCAGCAATATCAATTAAATTATAGTTCTGTTCAGACACCAAAGCTTCAAACTCACCTATTTTGCTTGGCAGACTTCTGGCATTGGTGAACAAACACTTTAATCTATTGACATCTTGTTCACATGTATTTTGCATATTTTTTATTTTCATACAAACGGTATCAATTCCACTGGTTGTTTGCAACATGGGAACCTTCTTATCTGTCATAGCCTTCCTCCCCATTTTTCCCCTTTCCACCCACCAATAAGAACTAATCCGTCTGCTCTGTATACCCCAGTATAATCTAATTCTCCCACCCCCCTCGATCCTAGTTTAAATACTGCTCCAGCCTTCCCATAAACCTCTTCCCTAGCACAGCAGACCCCCTTCCATTTAGGTGCAAACCAGCTCTAGCATATAGGTTGCACCCCAATGAAAAGTCAGCCCAGTGCTCTAGAAACCCAAATCCTTCCCTCTTACACCAGGTCTTCAGCCATGCATTTAGTTCTCCAATCTCCCCGTCTTTCCTGAGTTGCGCATAGCACAGGTAATATTTCAGAGAATATCACCTTGGAGGTCCTTCCCTTCAACTTGCAGTCTAGTTCTTTAAATTGATTCTTAAGGAGCCTCCACCTTCCATGTATTCTTTCATTGGTTCCAACATGAACCAAGACAGCTGGGTCATGCCCAGCCCCTCCCAGTAATTTATCAACTCAGTCCACAACATGCCGAACCCTGGCACTAGGGAAAACAGCAAACCATTCAGTTGAGATCCTGGCGACAAATTATTCTATCAGTCCTTCTGATTATAGAATCCCCTACTACCACCAGCCGTCTATGCCTTCCTGCACTACCCTCACCACCCCTCCCACATGGTCTGCCCTCCCCGGCTGTTAGGGATGGCAGTGACATACAGGGCTACCACCCCTGAGCTTGCCAACCACACATCTTCACCCAACTTGGCAAATCTGTTTGGGTGTACAAACTCAGGGCCAGCCTTCCTTTTCTGTGAGACCCTACCACTCCCTCTTGTTACAGTAACCCATCTTCCTACCTGATAATCCCGATTAGCCAATCTGCCCTCCACATCAATCCCATTAACTACCTGCTCAGAGAGCAGAAGACCCCTTTCAAGACTGCATTCCACCTGCAGTCCTGGTGAGGATTGCAGAAGTGGGAGTGGGGTACTGATTTAAAAAAAAAAAAAAAAAAAAAAAAAAAAAAAAAAAAAAAAAAACACCCACAAAAAAAATTGTGTTATCCTAAATGCACATTGTAAAGAATAATAAACCAAAAAGGTAAAAAAAAAAAAAAAAAAAAGGGAAGGGTACAAGAGCATGGACAGTATCAATGTACCACTCACCTCATGTTCTGTGATGTTAATCAAAAGCTCCTGCTGCAGAAAAACTGTTCCAGGATGTACTTGGGAGCCATGTCCACCAGTGACTACAAAATATAATGAATGAAATGGCCTTAAATATTTATTATCAAATCTCAAAAGAATAATTTACAAACTTTACACAAATCAGACCTCAAGGAAGGCATAACAATTGGTAGCTTTCCAAAGACAAAATAGGGACTGTACACCTTGAGCAAACCTACAGTTGCACAAAAGGAGTCAAGACTACACAGATAATGGTATAAAAATACAACCATCTATAAAGCCTAGCTAAAGAAATTCACTTACAAATACTTACTAGGACTATCTTACTTAGCCATCTTCGTACTTTTATCTACAGGATTTTTTTATTTATTTTTTTACCTTTACTATATAATCATATATATTCTTTACTGTGCTCCCAAGAAAGACAGTTACCTGCTTGGCAGATGGGGTCATTCCTTGCTGCACAACTATGATGGCTCGGGTGATATTTTCCTCCTGCATCCTCTGACAGTACATTTTAATGGTCTTTATGCCAACCTTTGGCTCCTCTGAAAAAAAAAAAAAAAAAATTATAAAGAACATGTAGGCCACTTACATTTTTTAAGATCTACAGTTTAGATAAACTCCGGCAAATGTGTCTGTTGATAAGCAAGTTAGAGAAATAAGCAAGCTAGAGAAATAAGAAGCCAAGGAAAGAAGGAGACGGCACAGCATGAGCTAGCAAGTATAAGGGAGGGCAAGGGAAGGAAGAACATTGCATTTTTGCTACATACTTACCTTTAAAATCCATTTCTTGGAGTAAATCATGGGATACAGAGCAGACTATAATCATTATCAGGGTAATGCGCCACCTATAGGTGAATGGACACTGGCAAACTAAGACAGGAAGTCCTCCCCTATATAACCATTGCTACACAGGAAGTACCTCAGTTTTGTAGCAAGCAATGAACTCCAGAAAGAGGGGAGGGACCTTGTTGTCCCAGGATGTACTCCAAGAAATGGATTTTACAACTATGAGGAAAAATCCCATTTGCTTTATCGTGCTTCATGGGATACAGAGCAGGCTATAATCATTACTATCTGGGATGTCCCAAAGCAATATATTTAAAGGGGAAGGAGACAGCAATCCCAGACACTGCAGTCAAAAGCAGCATCCTCTGTAGCTATAACATCCACTTGGTAGAACCTTGTGAATGTATACACTAACAACCAAGGTGGCGGCCTTGCACACCTGAGTCACCAACGCCTGACGGTTATTTGCCCAAGAGGCTCCCACACCCGAAAGGAAGGGACCTTGCCCTCCAAACCATAGGCTTGAATGATCAACTGACGATCCAATGAGAAATAGCGGAGTTGGATGCCACTTGCCCTTTCCTGGGCTCCGGCTCGCATTACATCCAAAGAATGCAGCAATTTCTCTACTGGTAATTGAGATTTGGGGAAAAAAAAAAAGATGGTAGGACAATGTCTTGATTCTAGTGAAAGTTAGAAACCACTTTAGGCAAGAAGGGTGCAACACCACTTTATAATGGTGCAAGATTAAAAATGGTTACTTGCAAGAAAGAGCCACCAGCTCCGACACTCTTCTTGACAAAGTGATTTAAAAAAAAAAAAAAAAAAAAAAAAAAAAAAAAAAAAAAAAACCTTTACAGGCAAACTGACTAGTGGAATATCATGAATAGATTCTGAGTGCTGCTTCTGCAAGATAGCCAACATTAAATTTAAAAGGGTAGCCTGACAAGAGGGACTGTACAAATCACCACCTGCAGAAAAGCCCAAACAAAGGAGTGCAAAGCAATAGGTCTTTGAAAAAATATGGACAAAGCTGAAATCTGACCCTTAATGGTGCCCAGGGCCAACCTCATTTCCACACCTGCCTGGAGAAAAGAGCATCCTCCCAAGCACATATTTACTGGGATACAAACTTTTGGCATCACACCAGGAAACGCAAGACTTCCAGACTGTAATAGATGTTCCTGGAAGCCGCCTTCCTAGCATTCAACAGTGTAGAAATAACTGAACCCGAGACCCCTCGGTCCCTCAAGATCCTGGCTTCAACAGTCACTCCGTCAAATTTAGAGAACATAAAGCAGGGTGCCACATTGGGCCCTTAGACAGCAGGTCTAGCCAGACTGGAACATCCCACAGCCAGTTTTACTATATCTGCATACCAAGCCCTCCTGGGTCAGACCAAAATCACCGATGCTACCTCCTCCCGAATACTGCGCAAAAAGCATGGCAGAAGTTAAATCAAAGGGAAGGCATAAATTAGGGAGAACTAATCCCAAAAAGTCACCAGAGCGTCTACCCCAAATGCAAGCAGGTCCCTTGTTTTGGACACAAACTTGTCCACCTTGTTGTTGAACCTAGATGCCAATAGATCTACATCCAGGGTACCCCAACGCTGGCACTCTTCTGGAACCAACTGCCAAATCCCCTACCAGTTCTCTACCCCCGGAATGTAAACTGCTGGCAGAGACTGCACATAAAGCTCCAACCAAGCTGGAATGTGATTCACCTCCTCCTGGGCCATCCAGCTCCTGGTGCCTCCCTGCTGGTTAATATAAGCCACGGCAGTTATCCTGACCAGATATCCATGTAACCTGACTGTACAAAACATTAGAGTAAAGCAATCCACCTGATGGGCAGACTCTTCTCTGGCTATACCCACTTCCCTTGGACTGTGGCACTCTCAACAACCCCCCAGCCAAAAAGATTGGCATCCGTGGTTACTATCTTCCAAACCACTGGAAGAAAGAAAAAAAAAAAAAAAAAAAAAAAAAAGAAGACTTCCCTATTTCCAGATTCCAAGCCACCAATTCAAACTTTGCCTTACCCTGGAGAACAGAGATGTGAAAATCCAATGCTTGGACCTTTATGCTCCAGTTTCTCTTTAACTGGTCTGGAGTGGAACTGTGTATAGGGCAATGCCTAGAATGAAGATACCATCTCCCCATCAACCATGCAGAGGTGTACAGATGGATACTTTTTTCTCCTCACATCTCGCACCTTACCTCTCAGAGCATAACACTTTCCTGGAGGCTGGAACACTTTTGCCTACATCTAGGACCAACCCCAAATATTCCAGACTTTGAACTGGCTCTAAGGCTGACTTCTCAAAGTTTAGGATCCAGCGTAGACGTTCTACAACATGTACTGCACAAGCTACAATTAGCCTTAAGCTCAGAACAGACTGCTCCCTGAGTAATAGGTTGTCCAGCTACCCTAGTACCAATATCCCTTGGGCTCTTAGTAGTGCCAATATTGGAGCCAGAACTTTCCTGAAAACTCGAGAGCCCATGGCAAGCCCAAAGGGCAGAGCCATGAACTAAGAATGATTACCTTCCACTGCAAACCGCAAAAACCTTTGATGAGGTTGGAATATTGGTACATTAAAAAAGGTATGTGTCCTTGATTTCTATGGACGCTAGAAAATCCCCTATCTGCTGAAAGAGTCCTACTGAATGGTCTGAGTTCATCTGAAACTAACAAAAATCGATTCAGAGCCTTGAGATCTAGTATAGGCCTCACACTTCTGTTTGGTTTTGGAACTGTGAAAGCCCCTGAACCTCTCGCTTGAGAGAGCTTCCACAATTACTCCTTGGAACAGGAATTGATCAAGAGCTTGACATAAAGAATTTATTTTCAGCTGGTTTGTGGGTACTTTGGACTTTAAAAACCGGGGAGAGGGAAGAACCCGAAACTCCAGTCTGTACCCGAGAAATTGTGAAAATGATCCACTTTTTCTGAATCACCTCTTCCCAGGCACTTGAAGCCTGCAAAAGACTCCCCCCTCCCCCCCAAGCCATACGAGTGGGGGTGTCCCTTCATAAAGAGGGCTTAGGGACAGCCATAGATAACTTCTGGACCCATGGTTTTCCCTGTCCCTTGCCCTGAGACTTGCCTCTAGGTCCAGACCCCTGTGGGTCCCAAAACTGGCAACTGAGGAAACTAGCAGCAGAAGTACTTGAACCCCTAAAAGATGGACTCTTCTCCTTTTAACTGGTAGCATAGAACTCAACCACCAAAACTTTCTGGATGTACTTATATAAGTCATCGGCAAACAGGCGCTTTCCATGAAAGGGGAAGCCAACCAGCAATTTTTTGCAAGGCAATTCTGCCGTCCAGCTTTTCAATCATAAGATTCTGCACAGGTGTACTGAAAGTGTGACGATCGTGAAACCTGCTGTATTGAATCCTTAAGGAAAATGCACAGCAAAGCACAAGGCATGGGGAAGATCTGCCATCTCTTCGGCGTAATCCTCTCCCTGACCAGGAGGATTCTTAACCTACCGTTTAACATTGTCCTTCAAAAATTGACACATGCCAAGTGCCGCCACCGCAGGTTGCGCAGCAGACCAAGCACGAGCAAAAGAAGCCTTTAGTAATGATTGCAACTTCTTATCAGCCTTAAACACTTGGGTACTGTCCACTGGACAAGTTCAATTTTTACTCAAGAAAGACACAGCTGTGTCGACCATCGGCATGCTCCATCTCTTAAATTTTTCCTTCATGGGATACAGCAGGGAAAAACTGGACCAACAATCTCTGGGACTGAGAGGTCGACAACGCTTAAAGTGGAGTCTTCCGCCTGATCTTCCTCCAATTCATCAACAGCCACTTCCTCCATATCCTCTACCCACTCCAAAAGAGGAGGATCCGGGGAGAGGGATCTTTCACATTTCTTACCTAACAGAGGAAACCATACCAACCATTTTATTCTCCAGTCCAGCCAAGGCCGATGTTAAATCATCCTTAGTAGCGTATGCTGAAGCAGACACCGTAGTAGTCAATGCCAGAGAAGCAAAGCGGCTCCGACTGCCCAGTCTAGTCTTTCAGGGGAAGTCACCACAGTGGAACTTTTACTAGGATCCTCAGGACCTGACCTGACGATAATGCACATGTACCCCTTCCTGTTGTGGTTTCCCCACTCTGCTTTCTAGAAGACATTGCTTATTCTAATTTACAACAATGCAACTGGGGCTTGTGACAAACATTTAACCCACCAGTACAGCACCCCAGCATGCAAGGCTGTAATCCAGCATTTAGCAGCTATCACAGCCCAGACAGCAAAAAGATGCAGCACTAGAGTAGCAGCCAGTCCAGACTGCCACCTGTGACCATACATCCATCTAGGTCTCACATGCCCAAATGATAGCTTGCTCTGTGTTCCTTCCAGCGGCCTCACAGCAGCCCACCTGCAGCTTCTGACCACGTGTGCACCTGTGAAGAAAACTGAAAAAAGGAGCTACTGCGCATGTGTGCTGTGCTATGTGCATGCCTGCCCCTGGGAAAGCCACGGGCGTGCTCTCGTGATCCGGCGAGCGGGCTGGGACTCCTGCAGCCTTTAGCTGGAAACAATAAGAAATGGTTTTCTCCCATAGGAGTTCCCCAAACATGCCAAAAAGACAAAACCAGCTAGAACACATACACAGTGCAGATACAGAGCTCCCAACACCCTCTAGTAGGCAAAAAACTAAAAAGGACGAAGATTGTGGATATCTGGCCCTGCCAAGCCGTCTCTGCTGTGGCTGCATACACAGTATTGGAGCTTTGCATAAGATCAAATAGCTCCTAAGTGTAGCCAAGTTCTCTGTTCAACCTATGGAAATAAAAAAGTTATTAAAATATACATTCCTCTTTTCTTCACTTATCTCTTTGCTTTCTTTTGTGTCATCTGATCATGAACCCTTTGGAGATAAGTTGAACTGAAGGCACAGGGAAAGATCATTGTGGCTGGTGGAGAAGAAGTTGTTTTCACAGACAGGGGAGAAATAAGGCAGAGTAAATCTGGGCACTCACACAGACTATTCATTTAACCTCTGAGCTGAATAAAAGAAAATCTACCAGATTCCTCCATCCATGTTAACAGTGCAGTTAAACAAATCTCCTCTGCTGGCTCCTGCAGCTGTTAGAATACTCGAACAGTGTCTGTTGTGACTGCATGCAGGACCTGTTCGGCCGACAAATTTTTCACATGGCTCCTTCAACAAAAGTCAATCCACTTTTGTCAAGTCCGGGCAGTGCTGACAGGGGTGTCCAGAGCTTGAATTTGCTGAAATTCAAGCTGCCTAAGGCAGCTTTTAGAATTCTGTGTTGCTTAGTGGTGAAAAGGAACAGAGAAGTGAAAGCCGATTGTATTCGCTGTAAGACAACATAACACGAAGTTGGGAGAGATGGCAAAAAAAGCATAAGGCACTTTTATCCTGTAGTTCTACTAAGGTATATTACCAAATGCTGGTGACACCACATACACACAAACTTACCAGGAAAGAATACAAACATCTGATCAGTTGGATCATCATTGTGTGCGACCAAAACCGTAAGATCTGTGCGACGGGGGCGACCCTCACTGGGCTTATCACCAAACTGTGCCTTAAACTCATCCAAAGTTTGATCCAACTCATCTTGTGTCACTAAATATCCACGATCATGGCATAACTGAAGGTTTCAGTGGAGGAGAGAAAAAAGGGGAAAAAAAAAAACATGTATTATATATTAACTGTAAGAAGAAACACCATGTAACAGTTCAATGCACTGTAGTTACATTTATAAATCATGATATACAGCGTATATAAAAAGTCTACACACCCCTGTTAAAATGTCAGGTTTCTGTGATGTAAAAAAAATTAGAGAAAGATAAATAATTTCAGAACGTTTTCAAACTTTAATGTGACCTATAAACTATACAACTCAGTTGAACATCAAACTAAAATCTTATGGGGGGGGGGGGGGGAAATAAACATATAAAAATAAAATTATGTGGTTGCATAAGTGTGCACACCCTCTTGTAGACGGGGATGTAGCTGTGTTCAGAATTAAGCAATCACATTCAAAATCATTTTAAATAGGAGTCAGTCCACACCTGCCATCATTAAAAGTGCCTCCATTAACCCCAAATAAAGTTCAGCTGTTCTAGTAGGTCTTTCCTGACCTTAGTCGCATCCTACAGCAAAGGTCATTGTCCACAGAGAGCTTCCAAAGCATCAGAGGGATCTCATTGTTAAAAGGTATCAGTCAGGAGAAGGGTACAAAAGAATTTCCAAGGCATTAGATATACCATGGAACACAGTGAAGACAGCCATCATCAAGTGGAGAAAATATGGCGCAACAGTGACATTACCAAGAACTGGACATCCCTCCAAAATTGATGAAAAGGCGGGAAGAAAACTAGTCTGGGAGGCTACCAATAGGCTTGCAGCAATATTCAAGGAGCTGCAGGAATACTTGGCAAGTACTGGCTGTGTAGTACATGTGACAACAATCTCCCGTATTTTTCATTTATGTCTGGGCTATGGGGTAGAGTGGCAAGACGGAAGCTTTTTCTTACCAAGAAAAACATCCAAGCCAGGATAAAGTCTGCAAAAACACATTTTAAATCTCCCAAAAGCATGTGGGAAAATGTGTTATGGTCTGATGAAACCAAGGTTGAACTTTGTTTGGCCATAATTCCAAAAGATATGTGTGGCGCAAAAACAACACTGCATATCACCAAAAGAACACCATACCCACAGTGAAGCATGGCGGCGGCAGCATCATGCTTTAGGGCTGTTTTTTTTCAGGTGGAATTGGGGCCTTAGTCAAGGTAGAGGGAATTATGAACAGTTCCAAATACCAGTCAATATTGGCACAAAACCTTCAGGCTTCTGCTAGAAAGCTGAACATGAAGAGGAACTTCATCTTTCAGCATGACAACACATACACCCAAATCAACAAAGGAATTGCTTCACTAGAAGAAGATTAAAGTTTTGGAATGGCTCAGTCAGAGCCCAGACCTGAATCCGATCAAAAATCTGTGGGGTGATCTGAAGAGGGCTGTGTACAGGAGATGCCCTGGCAATCTGACAGGTTTGGAGTGTTTTTGCAAGGAAGAGTGGGAAAATATTGCCAAGTCAAGAAATGCCATGCAGATAGACTCATACCCAAAAAGACTGAGTGCTGGAATAAAAACAAAAGGTGCTTCAACAAAGTATTCGTTTAAGGGAGTGCACACTTGTGCAACCATAAATTTTAGTTTTGTATGTTTACTCCCCCTTAAAAAAGATTTGTATAGTTTATAGGTTACATTAAAGGTGGAAAAAGTTCTAAAAAAGGTTTTGAACTTTGTCTCATTTTTTTACATCACAGAAACCTGACATTTCAACAGGAGTGTGTAGACTTTTTATATCTGCTGTATATACACTATATTGCCTAAAGTATTGGGACGCCTGCCTTTGCACGCACATGAACTTTAATGGCATCCCAGTCTTAGTCCGTAGGGTTCAATATTGAGTTGGTCCACCCTTTACAGCTATAACAGCTTCAACTCTTCTAGGAAGGCAGTCCACAAGGTTTAGGTGTGTCTATGGGAATGTTTGACCATTCTTCCAGAAGCACATTTGTGGGGTCAGGCACTGATGTCGGACGAGAAGGCCTGGTTCGCAGTCTACGCCAATTCATCCCAAAGGTGTTTTTTTCGGGTGGAGGTCAGGACTCTGTGCAGGCCAGTCAAGTTCCTCCACCCCAAACTTGCTCATCCATGTCTTTATGGACCTTGCTTTGAGCACATTCATGTTGGAACAGGAAAGGGTCATCCCAAAACTGTTCCCACAAAGTTTGGAGCATGAACATTGTCTTGGTATGCTGACGCCTTAAGAGTTCCCTTCAATGGAACTAAAGGGCCAAGCCCAACCCCTGAAAAACAACTCCACACCATAATACCCCCTCCACCAAACTTACACTTGGCACAATGCAGTCAGGCAAGTACGTTTTCCTGGGAACCGCCAGACACGTTTGTTGGATTTCCAGCCAGAGAAGCATGATTTGTCACTCCAGAGAACATGTCTCCACTGATGGAGTCTAGTGGCAGTGTGTTTTACACCACTGTATCCGATGCTTTGCATTGCACTTGATGTAAGGCTTGGATGCAAGCTGCTCGGCCAAGGAAACACATTCCATGAAGCTCTTTATGCTGACCCCGCTCTGTCATTTTACATGATCTACCACTTCATGGCTGAGTCGCTGCTATTCCCAGTTGCTTCCACTTTGTTATAATACCACTAACAGTTGACCATCGAATATTTAATAGCAAGGAAATTTCATGGATGGACTTAATGCACAGGTGGCAACCTATCACGTTACCATGCTTAAATTCACTGAGCTCCTGAGAGCGACCCATTCTTTCGCAAATGTTTGTAGAAGCAGTCTGCATGCCTAGGTGCTTGATTTTATACACCTGTGACCATGGAGGTGACTGGAACACCTGAATCCAATGATTTAGAGAGGTGTCCCAATACTTTTGGCAATATAGTGTATATGTGGCAAATTGATATTTCATCTAACTTTTTCTGACCAGAGATGTCTCAAAACTGGCTGGAGCTGCCAACATTTAACAGAAAACTGTGCAGCTAATAGTACAGCATTTTGCACCCTATCATGCATAATTCTTTATGATAAACAGATTGTAAGCTCCACAAGCAGGGCCCTCACATTCCTTCTGTACTGAAATGTAATTGTACTGTCTCCCACTATAATGTAAAGCGCTGTGCAAACGGTTGGCGTTATATAAATCCTGTATAATAATAATATACATAAAAAAAAAAATAAAAAAAAAAGCAGTCACCACTCATTCCACCAACTGCATGCAACATTAGACCAATCAGCAGACAGAGTTAAAGACGAGGTCCAAACAAAATTCTCAGTGCATGTGTCGCTCACCATCTCCTCCGTTCCTTCAACAGAAGAGAGTTTATCCAAAAGGCATTAAATTGACGGGGAGTCCCAGCAACAAACTAAGACAGGATAATGCCATCTCTGGGAGTTCTTCAGCCAGGCTTTGGGAGATGCATATTGCAGATGACCTACAACCTATAGCTAGGGCATTATCCAACTTAAGTCAAAACTGCACAGTTTGTTTTTATTTTGCCTTTAATCAGAGAACACATAGCCCACCACAAACTTTCACGTCTGTAATTCAAATTGCAGCTAAAGCCAATACATTCATTTTTATCTAAGAGAGCGATGAGAGGTAAAGAACCTGTTCACACCAGATGCGTTGGGTAGTCCCAACATGAGGGGACATAACACAGACAAGGCCTTGCACCCTTATCATATTAGTTCACTGCACCATGCTGCGGTCTTGTGCGCTGGAGAATAGTACAGCATTCAGTAGTTTTTTTCAGCGCAGCGCGATGCCCTGCTGTGGCCAATAGAACTCAATGGAATTTTTTTACCAATACAGGAGTAGCAGAGTGGTAGTGCACACAGCTTGTGTAAACAGACCCTAAAGCCCCTTTCAGATTTGAACTGTGTCCCTGCTGGGGAGACTCACCCTCTCTATTGTTAAGTTGTCTCTGAAACAGAAATACAGGGGGAGTCATCTAAGAGGAACACTTGTTTCTGTGACAACTGTCTGAGAGGGCGTTTCCCTCACCTTGGAAAAAAATATTCTCTCACTTCCTGTACAGATCAGGAAATTAAGAGAAAACCTCAAATGGGAAACAGATGGTGAAAAATATCCTGATGGGGTCTTAACCCTTTCCTACTGTATCCAAAATGAAAGTAAAATGTTTTGGCTTTACAGAAAAAAAAAAAAAGAAAAAAAAAAAAAGAAAGACGGAGCCTGGGTTCACATATATGCGGTGTGGTATATCGCATGTAATTCGCACAGGAACCGCACCGCATTCCTGTGCAAATCACATGTGATTAGTGTGTGGTGCGATTGGAGCCATACATATTGCACCGTATCCACACCAAAAAGGTCCAGGTGGGTATTTACACCTATGCGATCCGATTCTGCACATCGCACCATGTTTTGTGGACCACTTTCGGGGGTGTTGTTAACATACACACAGCGGTTCGCATGAACAGGGTGCGATTCTGATGCAGTGAGGAATTTGCACAGAAACCGCTGCAAATTCCGTACTGCATCAGTGTGAACCAGGGCAGAAGGTGCTACTTGGTGCTTCTTGAGGCTTCAATAGCTCTCAGATTACCATTTTAAGGTCTGCTTAACCACTAGCCTACCGGGCACTTATACACCCTTCCTGCCCAGGCCAATTTTCAGCTTTCAGCGCTGTCACATTTTTAATGACAATTGCACGGTCATGCAACACTGTACCCATATGAAATTTTTATCTTTTGTGTTTGAGACAGATAGAGCTTTCTTTTGGTCACCTCTGGTTTAATTTAATCACCTCTGGGTTTTTTCATTTTTTGCTAAACAAACCAAAAATAACTGAAAATTTTGAAGAAAAAAAAAAAAGTTTTTGTTTTAAAATTTTGTAAATAAGTGATTTTTCTCCTTCACTGATGTGCGCTAATGAGGCTGCAGTGATGGGCACTGATGAGGAGGCACTGGTAGGTGGCACTGATGGGCATTGACAGGCATCACTGATGGGCACTGAAAGGCAGCACTCATATATAGCACTGTTAGGCGGCACTGACTGGCAGCACTGATAGGTGGCATT